GCACAAGAAGCTACCGCTTGCATGCATGCTAGCTTCCTTAACCTATAGATACCTATGTGCCTAAACCTACCTACCTACCTACCTACATATAAAGAAAATATATAACAAAGCTTACCTTAACCTTCCTGGCTGTGATCGATCTCACATTTATTCTAAACCCTATCGCTTACATAAGCTTTTTGGCGATCCTTTTCATAAAAGTTTTCTATTTGTCTTCTTCATTGTCATCTTCTGCTACTTTCTTTACCATTATTCCTTCCATCCACCACATGCTTCAACCTTATTCGTCTCTGATGAAATCCCCCCGTTATATTCTTCACTTACATAAGCTTTGTGGATTCCAACTTATTAGTTTCCAAAAAGCTTCAATGATTATATAATAGTGTTAGTTCTGTTTGATCCCTTGCGAGTGAAGTACTATGAGGATTTTTGGCCCTTATTGACTGAATCAAACGTCACAAGATCTTCCAACTTGTGAAAAAGAACGTATATTTCTCTTGTACTATAACTATCGAAAAGGTTTAATTATATTCCTACGAAACAAAAAACTAAAGTCCCACCACATGGTCGATCTCTTTAAGAATGTATCTAATTCTCTGCTAGTTCTGTTCTGGTGTACAGTGTTTTTCTATGGCCAAGTGCAACCCAAAAAAGTGCATAACACTATTTCCTTAAGAGTGTGAAAATCAAATTAATTAAATAGGTTAAAAAGTTAGAAATCATTCTTTTCATGTCGATGCGAAACGTTGTAAAGGTTGCAGACTGGTTCCGTTGGATCTTTCCAACTGATATGAAAACAACGGTATTAAATATATACACGTTAAGTTAATCTGACACAGATTGTGATAAAACTTGCATGCACACACACACACATATATATATGTATATAGAGAGTTTCGTTACTTTTAATATACAATCAAAGTATGTTTGAAAAAAAGAACTGGTTTATACATGATTTTGCAGAAAACAATGGTGAATTGGCATGCATGGTGGGCAAGTGATGTGCTTTAACTTTAACCCACTGCAATTTTTGTCCATGGCTTTATTCCTGGGGCTAACCTCTCTTTAAGCAAAGAATTGTTGAAGTAGAGGGACACCAAATTAAACCGTCCAAATAATATATAATAACATACTGCAATATTTCTTTCCCTCTCTCTCTCTCTCACTCTTAAGACTGCACAATCTTTCTTTAGGGTTTTCTATCTCTCTCTCTCTCTTGCCTTGTGATGCAATCTGAGAAGCCCGGCCTTCCACGTGTCAGCATCTGGGTGGTGTGCTTTAGCTAAAGAGGGCTCTTACTAGATCTTGTTAAGGAAGAAAAGCATATGTAGCTAGTCAAGGTCCAAGTTTTGGGGTTTTGAATACAGTTCAAATTTATCCGACACTTTAATTATATCTCTGTCATTTTTTTTCCACTTCTTCCTTCTTTTTTATCTTCTATCTATGCATATAAAGAGAAAACACAACCAACAAAAAACAAAGTCTCTAACAACAACGTAGACCAACTAAAGAGAAACCGCTATTTTTCAAAATAAAAGTACATGTTGTGTCTGTATCTGCAGTAACATAAATAATCGTAATCATACTCAAATATATATATATCATTCAAATACTAAGATGGGATTACAGTTTAGACTAAAAAGTTATAGCTTTTAACAAGTAATGTTTAATTAAATGGTTAATATAATATGACTATATACTAGTATACGTATAGTTCAACAGATATAACCACCACAACTTAATTATATATATCAGAAGAATTTCTGATTCATATTGAAATGTTAAAGGATGTATACGGTTGAAGGAAGTGAGATTCAAAATGTGGTTAGAAAGCAGAGAGAACAAGGAAGCATGGTGGGGATTAGACCACTTTTAACGTTAAGAATGTTTGGTGAGTATTTTAGAGGCAGAGAGAGAGAGAGAGAAGGGGAGGGGAGAGAGAGAGGTATAATAATAAGAATAATAGTATAGTTTGAAAAGTGATCATAAAGCTACTCATTCAGCGATCCTGCTACAAAGCGGAGATCTCAAATAGTGTTTCTTTCTCCATTTCCAATGCTTAAGAGGGTTTTGATTAAAACTTTGGTTATTTTGATTTTATACAAAAATGTGAAAAGAAGAGACCCCAACAAGTGGGCTATGATGATGTATAGCTTAGTCTTTCTGCATTGTGCAATTACTGTTTGGTGTGAAGCTTTTAAACGAAACCGTACTTCTGTCTCTCCATGCTTAAGGGCTGTGCTGGCTGCTTCTGCTGCTGGCTGCATTATATGCTGCCCAATGCTTTTAGTTAATGGTTACTGATCAGTTTAACGCTTTTGGGAATTCTGAATTCAAATCCAAGAATCTTTTTTTACCAAATCCATCAAGTATTAAATAAGTGAAACATTAATTGGTCCATCTTTTAGCATTTTATTCTTCAAAATTATACAGTATTGTATCATTATTAAGAGAAAGAAACACATAGGTGGTCCCACTTGGATAATGCTCAAATTAAAGCTTTATTTCTTTCTCTTTTAACATCAATATTAACCCCAAAAAAAAAAAAAACAAAGTTAGTAGTATAATTTATAGTTCATGAAAATTTGATCTTATTTTGATTATAACATTTGAAATTTGAAATATGCGTTTTTTGTCCTTAAAATTTACTCCGTATGTGAACGTTAATTATTACTCTTCGGCTTCTAAATATAAAACCCTTATACTAGTGTGTGTAAAAATCTTACATTTAAGAGTGGAGGAATACAAGCTAAACGATGTTAAATATTGCTGATCTGCACATACACCGTTAATATGATCTGGTGATTAAGACAAGCTAGCATTCTTGTAGCTTATGTGGCAAAAAAACTAATAAACAGTGTTTTGCTCCTTGTGTGCTGCATTTTGCAGCGCTTTCTCTCGTTTTATTTTTCATCGATCTATATAAGCTACCAGGATGCCAACTAATTTTACTCAGTCATCAGGTCACATCATCAAAATTAGTAGTGCTGTGTCAAATCAAACAATATTTAACACCTTACTGAGATTAACATTCATAATTGAATAGTATCGAGTCACTTCCACTTAATTCAACCATGATTAATATTCAAACTTCAAACCCTTTTGACAAATTTGAAAAAATTGGCACCTTTAGAAATAGAGTGTGTTTCGATTAGAACACATGAAATTTCAATCTTAAACATCTAATATTTTGTTTGAATCTTGTCTTAATTAAATGCTAATATTTAATTCTTTTAGTGTCAGTTAACATCTAAACCAGTGGTGAAAATTCATGAATTCCTTGAGTTTGATCATAAATAATAGAATACGCCAATATGCTCATTGTTGTAAGTTGTAGTATTATGGGAAAATCAAAGAAAAGTTTTAGCTTGATGGGAAAAGAGGTTTCCAGAGAAACTGGCTGTTAAATTAGTTCTGAAGTTATATGAAAATAAGGCAAAATCCCAATATTCAGTTAGTTTTAGAATTTAGATTCTCCATGATCAGTCTGGAAGAGGAATATCGGCAAAGGAGAATAATTGATAAAAAGACAAAAAGCACCCCAGAAAAAAATTGAAAACAAAAAGGAAAGAAATATTGATGTATCTCATTTGTTCTTTAGGACAAAGAGCAAATCCTTCAACAGTACATTTTTTTCCTTTGCCTTTTTCAGGGAAGAGATTTAAAGCTCAAATCTGTCTATTTGGAAAGCCACTCGAACAAAAGAAAACTCGGTTGATGCAATTTGTATATTAAAGGAAACTAATTGATTTGCTAAAGCTATATATACTCATATCTCCTTTTAAGTAATTAAAGCTCCAGAATAGCAGTACTCTCCACCAACAGCTTTTAAATTATGAAAAAACTGCACTTAAATTTATAGATATCACCGTCTTCATTCGTTTCTTCCAACCAACCATCAGAACGCAAATACTAAATAAGGAAATCAATTGATTTGCTAAAGCTATTTTCTATTCATAGAAAAACTTTTATATCATTAAATTTTAAGTTTTTTCTTTTTTGCTACACGTAATTATTCTTCTACTGTTCTTCGAGACACTATTAAGTACTAAATATGAATATTTTTTTCAATGAAGGTTAAAACCTTAATTGGATTAGTCCTTTCACTGGATTTTACCCTATTGGTCACTTTAAGGTTATTGGCGCATAAAGACCCAGTCTGAATCCACCCTATAGGTATTTGATCCCGAAAATATATCTTGTAGGCCTTTCTCAAAGAATGGACGGGACCTTCGCTAATGGGCCCCAAGTGGAGAAAGAAACAAGAGCATATCCCAAACAGAGTTTTTAAAAAACAACCTCCTTTGATGTTTGCCCGATGGATCTCAGGAGCCTGGTGGACAAGGAAGCTTCGGGATATAAACCTGCTTGAGTTTTTATTTTGTTCTGTTTCTCTTGTACCAGAAAAAAAAAACTATCCAAAAGGATTTCATCACATAGAGGCCCAATCAACTAGAAGCACATTTCAGCTTAACGATGGTCAGGAAAATTAATTGCTCAAGCAGATGCTAAGCAACTGATAAATATGTTGAATGCCAACAGAGAGCCAACCACTTGTAGTTTACTGATTTTCAAGATACAGAGTATGCTGCAATTTTCCTGGGAAGTTAAGCTGCAAGTTTTACCCAGAGATTGCAACATTATCGCAGTGCATTTGTAAAGAGAGCAATTGCTGTATCCTTTGTTTTTTATTCGTGCCTTTCACAGCTGAAGATGCTAGTTTTTTTTTTTTTTGGTACAAACTGAAGATGCTAGTTGATCGTGACAAATTGGGACTACTGTTCCCTTAGTGTTACTCTCTCCTTTTGGTATGATACTCTTTTGGTCTTATTTATAATATAGAAAGAGAAGATTTTTCTGCGTTTTTTTTATAAATCACCTTATAAATATTTAGTACGAACATATATATTAGATATGAGTAAACTTAAAAAATTATTATAATTTAATAAAAATTTAATGCAATTTAAGATTTTACTTAATCTACGTAAAACATGTTAAAAATGCGAGTATGTCCTATCCATCATGCCTGTCCTAAGCTTAAAGTCCTCGAACCTCATAGGCTTTCAATGAACTATGAAGAGCTACCTGAGCGGAGATTTTGTTTATACAAGAAATCTATATAAAATGTCTTAAAAAATATTTTATCTTAAAATATCTCAAAGGGTAATTAAGATATCATAATTGCCCCTCACGTCAAGAATCTGGACCTGTCTTATCTGGTATCTACCAGACTACCACAACAAGAAAGTTTTGTCCAGAATCTCCTGTACAATACTACCCTGTGACTGAGATATCTGATCCATAGCAACAAGCTGGAGATAAGCTCCAGTTAAGGAATGGAGATTGAGCTTGAAGTTGTAGATGAGATAACGTATTTTTTTAAAAAAAAATTTTTAAATTTTTTTCGTTAATAATGCTTCCTTTCTTGACCATGAGGGGTGGTGACTTGGAGGATCAGATAGTTGTCTTATATGTCACGGGTCCATCTCGAAGTGATTTTTATATGGCCTGGCCCCTTTTCACATGCATCAAAACAATCTCATACTGATTATCTCAAGCCACCAGCCATCTCTTTCGTAGATTCTGAAGAACACTTATCTATCGATATCAATGGCAGCTTCACGCTCTCTTCTAAAGTTGGACCAGATTGAAGGTAAAGGAAGAGGATTAGTTGCAACTCAGAATCTCAAAGCCGGCCAAATCATCCTCACTGAATCTCCCATCATTCTCTATTCCACTTTCCCTCTCTTCTCTGATTCATCTTCTTCTTACTGTGATCACTGCTTCAGGTCAATTTTACCAGTTTCAACCCCAACACAACACACTGTTTCATCATATTATTCATGCCCCTCTTGTTCGCGCCACCATTTCTGTAGCCAGAAATGCCTCTCTCTTGCTCTCAAATCCTCTCATTCTTCATGGGTATGTCAGGCCCTGTCTTGTCTTCGAGACTCTGGTTCAGAGCTTCTTCGTCAATCCCATGAACTTCAAGTCCAGGCTCGTTTCGTCGTTGCTGTCTATAACCTTTCCCTTCTTTCCCCTTCCAGTATTCAGATCTTGCTCTCTCTTCTGGGAACCCCAGATGACGCCATTGTTAAAGCTTCAAGCTTTCTCCACTCTCTGATTTCTTCTCTGTGCCCACCACCTCAGAATCAGCTCCCTGCAGAACTCACAGCTCAACTTATGGCTAAAGATAGGCTTAATTCTTTCTGCTTAATGGAGCCATATTCCCCAGATGGTCCTCAGAGATCCATCAAGGCCTATGCTATATACCCAAATGCCACTTTCTTTAACCATGATTGTCTTCCCAATGCATGCAGATTCGATTACGTCGATGATGGTGTTCCTGGAGATGAACACAACACGGACATTGTGATCAGGATGATTGAGGATGTTGCAGAGGGGAGAGAAGTGTGCATAAGCTATTTTAGAATCAATAGGGATTATTGGACGAGGAAGAGGATCTTGATGGAAGATTATGGGTTTGTTTGTGGGTGTGAGAGGTGCAAGATTGAAGCCAACTGGGGTGTTGATGATGATGATCAAAGTAGCGGATTGCCTCATGATTGGTTCCTACGGAAGTATGTATGTGATAAGAAGAACTGTTCTGGCACACTGGCTCCTCTGCCTCCAAAGGATGATGATGGGCAGTCTAATGTCTTGGAATGTAATTTCTGTGGCGATTTAAAACTTGAGGGTGCATGAATTCTCAAAAGGCTCCAACCTCAATCTTTATTGTTATTTCTTTTCCTTGATTTCAATAACTGAATCGTAATTTATGTAATTCACCTCACATAGTGGAATATGACTTGATATTTCAATAATTGAATAATATATATATTTTTCACTTCTATTAGATTAGATCTAAATCCTTCATAGAAGTGGATTTCTTATTTTTATTTCACCATGCATTTAATGAGAAATCATCTAATTTTTCATTTAAATCTAACTTTTTAACTCAATATTAATTAATTATCAACCAATATAGCATCAAATCATCGATCAATATATATAATAAAATTTATATTCAATCGCACTATATGCAAGTAATGGTAAAAACGTGGATTTTTTTAAGGAAAAAAACATAATTTAACAAAATCTAGAAATAAGTAGACATTTTTTAATTACAATGTATCGAATTTAACGGGATAGATCTTATATTTCATACTGATTACTACTCAATGTAAGACTTAATTGTCGAGTTAATCTTAATTTCAAATATAAAACCTATTTATTATATTTATTAATTTTTTTAAATTACCCTTATTGATACTTCGTCAACCATAATCAAATAGAAGAGGAGAGGGAATGTTAAAAAAAACTAATTATGGTGTTTTAGAAAAAACATGTCATATTTTTTATAATTAACTAACTTACTTTATTTTTTAATCTAATCAAGTTAGTTAGATAGGTTTTATATTAAGTACTAGAGGAGTATAATTTATTGAGGTAGATAACTAGATACTCCTTCGAGATCTTTAATATAAGACCTAATTAACTAATTTGAGTAAATTAAGAATACTAGTTAAATTAGTTAATATGATATATTTTTTCTAAAACACCGTAAGTATTTTTCTTAATTCCTTTCCTTCCTCTCCTACTTCATTATTACTGAAAAAATATCAATATGACTAATTTAAAAAAATTAATAAATATGTAAAATAAGTCTTATATACTACCTCCGATCCTTAATATAAGATCTTACTTAACTTTTATTTTGATCATAAATATAAGATCTAATCCACTTTGTCTCTCATGTTTATGTATTTTTCCTAAGATAGTCCTTTTAACAATAATAATTCCAACCAATACAATTGATTAGTAAGGATATTTTAAGAAAAATAACACATATTTATTATAAATAATAATTTAATTTTTTTAAATTAGTTAACTAGCTCTTATAAATAGAATCGGAGGTAATATAATATCAACGCGAGAAATATGACTAATGCAAAGCCTAGTCACTGGAGGGTTCTTTTAGGGCCCACATGATGGCCATGTAACGCCGTCCGGATCCGAATATTATCGGGTTATTGGCTGGGTCCATGGAAATATGCATTTCGGATAAGTTCGCTTGATACGAGCCTTTCTAGCGTTGAGTCCCAGCCTTTGTTCATCAACCCGGAAATTCAAGTATCCTCTAGCATTAGAGATTACGATTCATGAATGAACAAATGAAGAAATTGCAGTGAATCCAGCAGCTTTGTTTTTATTCCAAGCAGAATTTTTATGGTAGTAAATTAACCTCTTGGTAAGCTGATATTTGCGATTCTTGCATCAGTTTCATTCCCTTCGCCCCCCGTTCCTTTCACTGATAAGAAGCTGTTTTGCGTGGACGTTTGTGTGTTTCTCTTTTTACTGTATCTCTCCAAACATCTGAGGTTATATAGTGTGTTAGCAAGAACGAAGAACTTAGATGGAAAGGGATTTTCTTTGAAGCATAGAAGCGGAATTGCTATTAATATTTATCATTTTTTTATAACTCGAGATCTATATTTCGCTTTCTTTATGTGTTCTCTTGATCTTGCATCCGATGTGAAGGTATGCTGACAAAAGTTAGGAAAGTGACCCAAAAGATATCCCATAAATTTATTTGTCCCATAATCAAAATGCGGGGGGGAAAAAAAATCTTTCTGAGTCGCTTAGTCGTCATTATAGTGTGCTCCTAATTCCTTATGTGAAGGGGATATGTTATTATATGTCACCATAAAAGAGGTTTCCTAGATACTACTACTCATCGTTGACATGGAAATGGGACGTCTTTTGTGCTACAAGAATTATGAGTTTCTATGAATATATGTAGAAGAATAATTAGCTAGATTGTTTCAAATTGCAAAACGGATTTAATTTGACCTTGTCTAGAACTGCCTTATCACTTTCCAGGGTTCCACCTTTTCCTCAGTGGTACAGATTAATTTTTCATCGAGTAGATAGAATTGCAGCATGAGAACATTTGGGCAGGGAAAAAAAAAGAAGGAAAGAATAGTGGTAGATTGTTCCTTATTCCTTTAGTTGTTAAGTTATAATTCTAATCTCCTCCAAATCGTTCGACAATATAGTCCTGCTGGTGCACAAGTAAATGCTTCTGGCTTTTAAGCTGAAGCAAGTTTTGGCTTGTTGCCCATTTCACTTCAAATGTTTAAGGACATGATATGGCCTTGACTGGGGGAATATCTTTCATTGATTGATCTTTGGGCTGGTCTCTATTGCTTGTTTGCCTAGGACTTCAGATGTTTGAACAGGGTTCTAGTTCAATTATATATACATATATATTCATAGTTCCTGATTTGGTGAATTATTTTCCGGTGACCATCTTTGCCACTTTAAAGTTAATGTCATTTGATACATTTCTTACATATTAGCGACTTATATGCGAAATGAAATCTGGTACATATTTCTGACTGAATGTTTAAACATGGTATAGCAGTTGAAAGAAGGCCACTATTTTAGCAATAATATTGCATAGGTTTTCTTATTTGGTTGAAGAAATGGTTTTTTTTTTTTTGGTTTATCTTTGTTCTCAGGTCATTATGATTATAAAAGGATTGTTTGGAAGATGTGAAAGGTGGAACCCAGTTCATCCAACCTATGGAACATTTTGGGGGATGGGTGTGGGCATTGGCTGTGGTGTTGGGTGGGGTCCAGGATTTGGCCCTGAAGTGGTGGGCTATGTTGGAGCTGGCTGTGGTGTTGGATTTAGTGTAGGTATCACTCTGGCTGGCTTTGGTATAGGTCTTCCTATGAACTTCTGTCAAGCTCCTTATCAAGGTAAATTCCTAAAGAGTTAAAATATCAGTCGCTTTTTGTAGTTGTTACTTTATCCACAAAAAGTTCTGTATTCAAGAGTCATCCTAACCGGACCTCTTTCACTTGATGAATATGAAAATCTTGTGCATTTAGATTTTGATGTTCTTAATCTTGTGCTCTTGGAGATTAGAGTTTTACCTTTTCTCCTTTTTAATCTAGCAATTGTGGCAAGAAGAGGCTCTGCATTGGAGTCAGCACATTTCAATGGTTTTCTTTCTGGAAAACATGTTGCCGAGGATAGCTGGAGTGGAATTGTACGTGGTGTTTCTTACTTGCAAAGAGAAGCCACGGAGAAATTGTCTAGCTTTAGGCAAAGGCAGTTATTGATCAAGGGTAAGGAATTTATTGATTTTTTTTTTTTAAACTTTATTTGCTAGAAGAACATACTTCCTTTACTTGCGACTTCTTCAATTTATGTGTATCTTCTATTACCTGATTGTTTGATTTTATGCTTGCCTTGCAAAATTCTTCTGTGTAATTGTTTTTCCTTTCCTTCTCTGTTATTTTTTGAGCTTATATAGTGTTAAGCTTGCATGTTCTTAACATACCTCTTCCCTTCGGGGATTGGTGCATGCTAATCTGCCTATTGCAAGATCAAGTAACTTAAGTAATAAATTTCAATCACTAAATTGATTATGTGTTGTACATCTGTCGATATGATTCCTTTATTGGAATCCTTCCTTACAAGTACTAGTGATAGTAATTGTCAATGGAGTAACATATATTTTATTCGTTGGACTACCATATTGGCATGTTCCATGTAAACTAAATAGCTGGATCCAATGATACGAGTGTTGCACATTACACCCCAGAAGCTTTTGTCTGTATTAACTTGTGTGTTATGACTGGTTTCATGTCGCTTGGCATAAATAGAACCTCACCGTGAAAAAAAAAAAAAAAGGAGAAGAAAAAAAGTTGTGTGACAGGAACAAGTGACAGATGATCTTCTCGTAGTTGCAGTTTAAGATCATCAATGTTAACGAAGAACTACAAATCATGTGCATATGATGAGATAAAGGGAATTTCAGACAAGATCAGTTTTTTAGTTCCTTTGGTATGTGAATTTCCCTAACTGAAGGGAGATCAAATTGAAAGACCTGCTTATTTGCTTGCAGGAAAAGATTGATGGCTTCTGCAGCTGCCAAATTTGTAGCCTTCATTTCCCTTAGCTGCTGAGGAGGAAGTAACATTGACAACCTTCAATCTTTCAGAACGAGGCTTTGTACTATAGAATGTATTTTGGTCTAGTTTTTTAGAGAAGCCGCGTGTCTTTTTCTTGTTCTTTAATTGGTTCATGTACATAGAGTTTACTCAAATCATTTCTGTATTTACCTATTTTATAATGATTATTTCGTATGAGTTACTTTCCTACTCAAATACCGTAAAGCAATAATATCAACACAACAACAAATCCCCTAAGGGTTTATTATTACAAACAAAGCGTGTTTTGGGGATTATTTGTAGAGATTGTTCTACGAACACAGGCTAAACATCATTCTAAAAAGTTTCATATTTAAAGAGATTATTCATGTGGTATCTTTTGTAAAATACGAGTTATCTCTAGATAACAGGTCATGCGTCATCTTTCCTGCATAACTGCCTACTTTGCATCAAAGTTTTACATGACTCGTGAGAATTCCCAATCAGGGTATTTACGAGGTTCTCGCACTGCTTCCCGGATATGAAGCTCAGGGCCACCCTGCCTTTAACAGAGAGTCCCACCATTATTAATTATTACCCTTAGTCATCAGAAAGGACAATGCCTTGTTGTGTCTTGCAGGTTCCAGAACCAATCACCCAGCTTCACAGCCTCAAATAGCTCCCCATCGATAATGGGTTTCTCGTACTTCGGGTGATCTTTTTTCAACAATCCCCTGCTCCTCTGCATTTTCAGCTTTTGTTCTAAGAACCCTGGTGGGTTTGAGGATCAAGAACGGCACTAAAAGTCAGAGAAGAAGGCTATAATAGTTGATCTTCTAGCACTGTGTTTGTTTGAAAGGAAGCAGGAAAAAAAAAATCAGGAAAAAGCGCAAAAGGAATGGGATGCAAGGACTGAATATGCCGTGGACGAGTATGGCTAAAATCCAAACAGACAAATGGGGCATATCATGTTCTCTTTTTGGGAAGGATTATTTTGGTCCTTTGACAAAAAGAAAAGTGCCACTCAAATTTGACTTGTTACTGTCTAGTTGGGGGTAGCCTACGACCCAAACGTGCTTTGACTCTGCTCTCTAACCACCATTCAAGCCAACACTGTTCATTGGTAAATGCTAATTTTACAGTTTTACTGCCCCACAAGGTTTTACCAGAAACTGAAACTTAGTTCGTTTTACCTCCTTTAACTTTTGCATAAATTTCACATAATAAAATATTAAAAACACCATCTTTACTCTTTAGGCAATTCAAATCTTTTATCGGCTGATATGCATTATTGGCTTATTAGTTCTCAGTTTCAGCATTGGTTTGACGTCATTCCCCCTTTATCAAAAGAGAGAAAAGAAAACAAGGAAAAAGGAAAGAAACTTTTTGCATGAGTTTTGCAGCATTATTATTATTATACATGACATGGCTGTCAAAATACATGCCACGAAGCTTGACTGCCACTCTTACGAAAACTAGATTTGTTTTTTATACATTTATTTTACATATAATTTACAAATAATGTAATGTATAATTTTATATCATTCAAGATGCATTTCTCCTCTACATAAAGAATAGAATACTGAACCTCATTATTCATATCAATGATACTTCCTTTAATTCAATCATGATTCAAGAACGCCTTTGGATAAATTAGCACCCAAAAGATATTAAATGTCATCCATAATGACTATTTTAAAAGAGACGACCTTGGCCAAAAAAGGAGAGACGAGATTTCTTTTGCGATCAACGTCATCAACATCAGTTTAAAACGTCGAATTTGTAACAAATCATTCCATATTCAGACACCATGAGTATTGATAGTTTATTTTGAATTTTCTACATAATGCATAGAAAAATATCTAGTTTTTTCCTTAAAAAAAAAAAAAGGCAACTCCATGCTGAAAGATCGGTTTCTAGACCTTAATTATTTTTATTCCTAAAATAATTTATAAGGCGAAGTAGAGAGAAGTAAAAATGTAGTAGTAGTAGTAGTAGTAACAATAATAATAAATAATACTCAACTTTAGAGATTGAGCCCCACCATTTTAATTTTATTTCTCTCTACTTCCCATAATGAACTAATTAAACTCAATTCTATTTAATGCCGATGCGTAATCAGGCAAGAGGTTTATATGCGCAGAAACCATAGAAATTCAAAAGCAGAACTGGGCCACAATAATCTAAAGGGAGAACAAAAGGAAACACAAAAATTCAATAACAAGACTAAATCCCAGTACAATAAATTAAAATTAAAAACCCAAGTTACATCATTAAAATAACAGAAATCCCTCAAGTAAATGGGAAACTGTGAAATAAAACCACAAATATGGAACTTGGGAATTAATACTGTTGATTCCTCTAATATCAGCAATACTCAGTCTGAGAATTCTTCTTTCCAATGCCTGAGGATTCTATTATATTTATTCAAAGCTTTCTATGGTAACTTACAGGGATCCACAGCAATCAACATTGACATCTGGGTTGCCATTAGCATCCTTATTTGGTCTGTACTCCATCACAGGTGAGCCAGACTCCTTCTTCCATGGCCAAGCATTGATCAGAGTCTGAGGGTTCTGATAGTCCTGTTTCAAACAACCAGTTGAACCTAACTGGCCATTGAAGACGAGTTGCTTGGATGACACGACATCAATGTTTGATGCAGGCTCAGTATCCGGCATCGCTTGCAGTTGAAAACAGTTGTTAGCCATAACAGAACTTTCACTTGATTCAGAGACAGCGTTCGAGGAAATGTGAGACAGTTGAGACCACATGCTGTCTGAGGAAGAGTCAAAGCCAAGATACCTCACATTTCCTAGGTCTTTCTGAAAGAAGTCATGCTCATCTACTTCAGATTGCAGCCCAAACCTGCAAAGTGGTTAGTACATAACAAGTTGCTCAATTCATATTATATATATATATTATAGAAACTTGAACAAGATGCGACATTCATCAGCCACAAATAGTATTGCTTATTTATCAAACACCGTGCAATACATGGGACCCACACTCATCATGAAAAATAAATAAAACACGAAGAATCAGCTAAGACAAGTCCACAATAGTTTAAAGGAGGGGGAAGAAACGAAAAAAGCATATCACCAATCAGATTTTTTTTTGGGGGGGGGGGTGAAATCAGCAGCTTCATTCAACAATCTAAACAGCGATTATACTGGGGGAAAGGATTTCACCGAGCTAACAACCACCATTGTTAAAGTGTCATTAGATCATTGATAATGAATAACATAAAATTCTCTCTCCTTCATATCCAGTCCAGAAAATTTTGCTGTGATGATTTTGCAAATTAACATCACAAGAATACTCTAGACAATGTCGAGAACTGTGTTTCTCTTGTCCCCCAAAGCCCATTTGTTAGTTCTAAAATGAAATGTCGGAGTTAAAAGCATTGCAAGCATGAAACTAGATCTCTAAAATCGAGAAGATTCTACCTTTTGAACACAGAAAAAGAGTTGTTGTACAAAATACAAGACCAGCTTCAACGCACGAGCTAGTTTACTTACTTCTTACTCTTTCCATCCCACGCATCGCAATGATCCACACATGTGAGGTAACTTGGCATTACAGCTACCACACACAACAAGTCTATAAGATAATAATAACTTTGTCCCTGTCATAAAAAACATCATTCACACAAACAAATGACCACTCCAAAGAGAGTCTAGGACTCACTGCAAGCATGATATGACACCATAAGTCAAACACCAGAAAGACAACACTGCATGCACACAGCTCAAACAATCACAACACCAACACAACATGAAAATCACAATGGTCCCTTCAGACTATGCTCTCACGTCACAAGAAGCTGTACTGTTATCATACCTGTACTCTTTCTTGTTCATCTCACTGGGAAGAGACTCAATCTGAAGCTGTGATACGTTGTTTCCAAGGCTTAAACCCTCACGAGTGCCATTTGTGTGCAGAGGGAGGCTGGGAAATGAGTTTCCACAACCACTTCTGGTCCCACCACTAACCTCCGAAGACTGAGCAGGAGGATGAGCAGCTTGTGATGCTTCCACAGGCTTTCTTGAACGATGACGACGGCGAATCATATGTCGCTCACAGTACTTAGAATCTGGGTGTGCGTCTCTCGAGCACCTCCATTTCTTACCGTCGGTTCTCCGGCACCTTCCCGGCTCTGGGTCTATCTTCTTCCCGAAATAGGAGCTATAACCCACTTCAGGACCGGAAAAAAAAAAACAAAACAAACGCAGAAAGACGATTAAGTGGTAATACTGGGCAGAAATTAGGGATTTGGAACAGAAACGAAGTGAAAAATGCAGGGGTTAGAGGGAGAAGAAATTGGGGGTTTTGTTGGCTTACGAGCTGAATGAGGAACCGGCATCAATTGGAGGCTCTTGTGAATCGGAGCGAGAAGGTCAGGCGGAACGGATAATCCGGCTTTGAGATACTTAAAGATAAGAGCTTGGTGTTCGAGTTCCTGCCACTGCGCCACCGTGAACGGCGGTGGCTGGAGTCCCGTCCACATGGCCGGCGGAATGCTCATTTCAGTGTGCTTGTTCCGCTGCTGCTGCTACTACTAGGAGTGAAAGCACAAAAAGGGAGCGATTTGATTTCAATGACATAGACAGAGAGATCATTAGCTGGAGATATATAGGAAGGAAGATAGAGAGAGCGAGAGGCAGAGACAGAGAGAGAAAGAGGCGGTTACCTCGGAGTGGGACAGTGAGTGCACGAGTTCGGCCATGGTTAGGACGTAGAAGCGATTAAGGAAGTTCAACAGTAACTGAAGAGGTTTGCTCTAACCGGGGCAGCCGCAGTATGTATGCTCGTGATAAGAAACTATGGTGGGCCCGGTGGAGATGATTTTTTTTTACAGGAAAAAATTTTTTGTTTTTGAAAATTTTGAAATTAAATTTTCCTGTTCCGGGAAAAATGACAAATAAAAATATTGAAATTAGAATATCCCAAAAGAGGAAAGTTATTCCCAATTAAAATTTTAAAATTAGTGAGAAATAACAAAAATATCCCTTTTATTTAAAAAAAAAAAGATTCAACCCCTCGCTAGTACAAGCCATCGCCAGCCACCATCGGTGACCAGATGTCGGTGCCAAGCATAGTTTTTTTGTGAAGGTAAAATAACCATTGAGCCATCAATGATTTCTTAACCTTATAATGCAAAAATATATATAAATTGACTCTTTTACTGTAGTTCCAGTTCGCAACAACACTTCATCTAAGAATAATAAGTCTTGATTGAGAAATGACAAATCTAAACTTGATATTAATAAAACATCTTTTCCTGATACATAACAGAAAATTTTCTTAATTAAAAACGACAACAATTTATTTGGGAATGACATGTCTTTATTGGGAAATGACAAGTTTAAACTTGAGATTAATAATGTGTTTTTTTAATGCATAACAGGAAATAACATGTGCATTAATTAAAAATGACAACAATTTATCTGGGAATGACATGTCTTGTAAAAACACCCTGTTAATCTCAAGTTTAGACTTGTCACTTCCCAATCAAGACATGTCATTCCTAGATAAATTGTTGTCATTTTTAATTAATGCACATGTTATTTCCTGTTATGCATTAAAAAAAACACATTGTTAATCTTAAATTTAGACTTGTCATTTTTCAATCAAAACATGTCATTTCTAGATAAATTGTTATCATTTTTAATTAATGCACATATTATTTTTTGCTATGTATCAAGAAGAAATGCTTTGTCAATATCAAATTTAGACTTATCATTTCTCAATCAAGACTTGGCATTCCCAGATAAATTGTTATCATGGATTGGAATCACAATAAAAAGTCTTTTTTTTTTTTACATTATAAGGTTAACAAATCATTAGTGATCTAATGGTTGCCTTGGCTCAAATGACCCAGAGGTTTTGATCCCACCCCCACCACTTTCCTTAAATAATTTATCACATGGCGGAGGAAAAAAACTTGTCACCCAAAAAACCAGTGGCCCGATGCTAGCATCCAATCGCTCGTGGTGGCTGGCAAGGACTTGAAAAAAATTTTCAAAAAAAAAAAAAAACAAAAGGGCATTTTTTGTTATTTCTTCTGAATTTCACAATTTCAATTTGGGAATATATTTCCTCTCTGTCATTTTTAACCCTTAGCTTCCTAAATTGGAATATCATAATTTTAAGTTTTTTTATATGTCATTTTCCCCCTTTTTCGGCATGCATCTAGATTGACAACAAATGACTTACGGCCCGTTTGATACAATGGAACTAAAGCTGAGGAAGCAAAACAGAAATAAAACCATGCAAGGCTTGTTTGGGATCAGGATTTTATCAGTTCTTCAGTCATAATTTACAAAATATGAGATAAGTATATGAGAAAACTTATCTCAATTTATATGAAAATGTTTATAAACAGATAAAATGAGCCCGTAACTCGTGTTTGGTGCTTGGAAACCCGATTCTTGATGAATCTTCCACTAAAATCGATAGAACTCTCGCTTCTATCGCACCGTCCAATTGTTAAATTTTCCAAAAATCAAATGTTATTTGTTATTTTTACCCTTCAAACCCTCCCTCGTTATAGGTTTAGATGGAGTGAAGCACATTTATGACGATAGTGACAGTGAAAAGAGACGATGTTCACGACGGTGGGAGCATGCGAAGACAGAACAAAGAGGGGGTGAGAGGGGGCGGAGGTGGTTGACCCACTGCGATGGAGGAGATGATAGGGCGGAGGTCATGGCTGAGATTTAAAGGGGAAGGTCAGGGATTGCAACTGTTATTCAAATGCAGTAGTAAGGGCAAGGGTCGTGGTCACTTTGACAGCATGAAACAAGACACTTTATTTAAATTGTGAGTCGCGACTGAGCTGAGTTATTTGCGATCAAGGTTAATAGATGACAAGAAGAATGTGACGAGGCAACAAGAAGATTTAGGAGGTTTTGGGTTAGAATAAAATCATGGTTTTAAAAGTGTTTTTACAATATACGAAATAAATATGTAAAAGAATTGTCTCGATTTGTAGAAAAGTGCCTTTGAAAAATACTTATGAGATTAACCAACATCACCCCTTAATCTTTTTGCTAGCATTGGCTTTGTTTTTTGTTAATTGATTTTAGCCCTTCATGCTTTGACTGACGATTTGTTTTGGAAGATTTACTATCAAGTTTTAAATAGAAAACATAATTACTAAAAA